GTTTATCCTCAATACAACTGGGACCTAGAGAGTCCCTGAGAGCCAACTTAAAATACTGGCTCTCAGTATTCTCAGTTGTCATACAGAGGATGACTCTGACTTTTCTCTCTCCAGTGGTTGGTCATTAGGACAATGAGTAGAAGGTACAGAGAAGGAGTAGTATCTAAAAGGTTTCTTATAACCACGGCCATCTGAAAGTGAAAAGGGCATTCCCAGTGGTGTGGTGAGCTGCCCATCACTGGGGGCATTCAAGAAAAGGCTGAAGGATTAGCATGGGCTTTGTATAAGGTGCTCAGGCATCCGATAAGAGACTAGGCTAGACCCCAGAGGGCCCCTGCAAACCTGAGGTGTAGGGTTTCAGGAAATCAGGGCACTAGCAGCATCTGCTCGCAAGATCAGGATAGTAGAGCAGAGAATCCACAACACTTTCTACCTGCACAGAGGTGGCTGGGTACCAAGTCCCTCCCTGTTCTCCTGCAGGAAAAGACCAGCATTGAACCTCAAAGACAGCCTTTCAGCACTGGGGCTAAAGGTGATTTCAGTTTATTTTCAAATATCTCTCAACTCCAAGACATGGAAAGACAGAGTCTAAGTGAAAGGAACTTGCCTTTACTGAATAATTGCCATAGTTTAGGCCTGTGTTGCCCCATATTGAGGCCACTATCCATAAGTGCTTGGCATGTGGCTGGTACACATTGAAATGTATAAAGTACACATAAGGTTTCAAAAGATTTAGTACAACAAAAAGAATTTAAAGATAGTTGCACTTATATATTTTATATTGGTGTTTTAAATGATAATATTTCATAATATATAAGTAAAATTAAGTTCACCTGTTTCTTTTCCTTTTTTAAAAAAATGAAGCTACTAGAACATTTAAAATTATATATGTGCCTCACATTTTATATCGATTGGGTAGTGCTGCTCTAGGCCCAGGAGAAGCATTTCAGTTCATTATCCTATTTATTCTTCACAGCTATTCCATGAGGCAGATACTGGTATAATCCTCATTTTATTCACAGAGACACCAGAATTTAGGGAGGTTGACTAATTCTAGTCACAGCTCATACGTTGCTGACATGGGATTTGAACCCAGGCCCCCAGACGGTGACCGTGCTCTCCTGCTTTCTGCTGCTATATTGACATCCTCTTTGGGGAATTGCTGCCACGCTGTAAAACGCTGAAGGAAGGAGCATGAGAAATGATTGCGGAATTGCTGACAGCAGCGAAACTACTTAATTAAAAATGCAACAAGGCCTCTGAAGTATGTGCCATCGGGGCAGGAATGGACAGTGAATCAGCTTCAGGCTCACTGTGAAATCATGCCATCCGAAAAGGGAGCCTGCAAACCTGGGAGCTGGGAAATGCACATCGCGGGTGTGTGTGTGTGTGTGTGTGTGTGTGTGTGTGTGTGTGTGTGTGTGTGTTAAAGTTTCAGAGATGGAGGGGCATTCCAGGGACAGAGCTTCCCCAGGACTGAGCTCTGTGGGCTGGACTTAGGCTGAGGCGGGAACCCCTTCTTCCTCGTGGAGTCTTAGTATGAACGCTTTCTGTGGGTTGTTTGGAGGGACCACTCCTGGAGCAGGGAGGGAAATGGGGATTAGGGGGTGTCCTGGGAGAATAAACAGCCCCCTGGATTCTGGCTCAACAAAACTACCTCTCGTAAATGCCCATCCTTGCATTTGGAACTGCTTCACTTGATTCGAGGAGGCATCTTCTTTCTCTCTTTTCTCTGCAGTCAGTGTCTGAGGGAGCTTCGGACCTGTTCGGAAGGGGTTCTTCACATTTCCCAGGGCACACAAAGCCTTCTCTCCCTGTCCTGCCCAGTGCCTCCCTTGAGGAGAGAGTGTTGATTCCTCTGGCCTTGTTATACCCTGGGGCGTCTCGGAACCAGGCTGTGGTGGACTGAGGGCCCATGTGGGGGGTCTCTGGGGCTGTGCCTGAGGAGGCTTCTTCCCTATCACCTGCCCTGCACTCACACTCGAAAACAGAAGGCGCCCCAGGCTGTGGAGGGCTGGGAAGCCATGACAGATAGGCCTTCTGCTGCTCTGAGTGAAATAAATAAGTACACCCCCC